AAGAGTAATTTTTCTAGTATCATCTTTTATTATATTATAATAATTAATAAATATTAGTTTAATTTTTACATAATAAAATATAAATAATAAATAATTGATTAATAAAACAATTTTACGAGGGAACAAAATAAATATAAATAAAAAATTATTTTAAAATAAAATAAGTAGATAAAAAGATAAAATAAATTATATACACATATAAAACAAAAAAATATAAATAAAAAATTAAAAAAATAAATATAAAAGTAAAATAATATTCATGACAAAATAAATATAAATAAAAAAAATAAAAAAAAATAAATAATAAAATAATTTCCATACACATATAATAATAAAAGAAATATAAATAAAATAGAAAATAATAATATCAAATAATTAAAAAGTTAATTTGTAAGACACTTATGAATAAAATAAAATAAATATTAAAATAAATTTCAATTAAAAAGAACATGTATTGTTATACTATTCAGTTTAAAAACTAGTACAATTCGGTTTAAAAACTAGTACAATTCAGTTGAAAAACTAGTACAATTCAGTTTAAAATTAGTATAATTCAGTTTAAAATTAGTATAGTTAGTAGTTCAGTTTAGTTTATATTGTAGTTTAGTATAATATAGTATAGTTCAGTTTAGTCTAGTTTGATAAAACAAAAAACAGTTTGTCTGTTTTACAGCTCAGTTCAGTTTATACAAATTAGTTTTTAGTTCAGTACAAATTTTAGTAATACAGTCCAGTTCAGTTCTATTTGCCCACTCCTAAAAATTTATTCATTATTGATAAACGTTGTTACTTCAAACACTTAGTATGGATATGAGTTATTGGGAGTTTTATTGAAAATCTCTATATAAGACTAATTATGTTTGAGTTAGACTGTATAAAAGTCTATTATACTAAATTTTTGTAAACTTACTTTTTAATTTTATTTTTTTAAATGTATTTATAAAAAAGTTTATTCATTTATACACACAATTAATTTATTTTGTGATTATTTAATTCATTTAACTATTTTTTTAAATTAGAAACAAATTGAATAAGAATGATAACGTGAATACAAATTGAAATAAAAATGATATCTTTAAATTAGAAACAAATTTTAGAATAAGTGAAAGGTTTAATTAAGTTTTGAGTCGTTTAGAAAAAAAATCTATTATGTATCTGATATGTTAGCTTGTGTTTACACGTGACAATTATAAACTACACATATGGGAAGGAGATGATGCGGGAAGTGAGAAAAATCTGAAAATCGAGAGGTTCCGTGTACCTCTGTTCCTTGGTGGCGGTGTCTATATAACCACCCTTTTACCCTTTTTCTCCATTTTTTTTTTCTTTCTGTTCTGTTCTATTCTGTGAGCCTTAGCTATTGCTCTGGCTATGGCTATGGCTATGGCTGCTTCAACTTCAACCTCTCTCTCCGTCGTTGGAAGTGGCCTCGCCTTCCCGCACCATAATCTTCACCTTCCCGCAACATCCTCTACTCGTTTTCGCACTCGATTCCGGAACAACACTTTGTTCCTATCGTCTCTCCCAAGGTATCACTCATTCTTTATCTCTTTTTCTTTTGCCGATGCTTCCAATGTCAAATTCCACCTCTACAGTTGCTAATTCGTCTTTCCCTATCAGTGAAAGAAGGAGGCTCAAAGCTCTTTCTGGTGGATCGGGATTGCGACGACGGAACAAGCCTCGCGGCCACGCTTTTGTTGTTGGTGAATCCTCGTTCTTGCTGCCGCAACAAACTTGTGCATCTTGCTGTCTTGCGAGGAAACGCCGTTCCAATCTTGGAACATTTGTGCCTGGAGCTTTTCTTGACAAGTCTTGTTTCCGCCTATCTAACAGTAAACTACATCGTTCTTCTGTGAGTTTTCTGGCTTCGTTTCTACCTGATAATCTTAATTTTCAATTTGTGAATGTTTCATTTCACTATTCTCTTTGTGGCTGATAAAAAAAAAACTTTTGCCTTTCTTTTTTGTGGTCTTTGGTTGTTATATTATAACCGAGTCATCTTTGTCTGTGGCTTTCAAGATTTTTAAAAATCTACTTATTATTCCAGTAAGAATTAAACTAGAGGAGTGTCTCTTGTATTAAATCTTGGGTCAAATTTATGTTTGTGTTCATGGATTTTCTTCTGTCAAGCAGGTTCAGATTCCGCGTGCAACTGTAGGTCCAGATGAGCCACATGCAGCAAGTAGAACCTGGCCAGATGGTATTGTCGAGAAACAAGATTCAAGTGTACATGATAATGAAAATGAACTAGAGCAGATAGAGGGGTTTCTAAGCTCTGAACTTCCGTCTCACCCGAAGTTGCACCGTGGTCAACTGAAGAATGGGTTACGTTATCTGATCTTGCCAAATAAAGTTCCACCAAAAAGGCAAGTTTATTAATTTTCATGAGTTCCTTTCAAAACTAGGACGTCTTTCAATGTAAAAGTGCCGATTTTTCATTCTTGAGTTTGTTTATCAATGATCAATTTCAAGAATGCGATAAAGATATTTTGATATCTCTTATCCACATGCATGACCATTACTTGTTTGAGGCATATTGCTTTGTCTTTTACAACCCCCTGAGGCGCTTCTTCTCAGTGTCTTGTTCCCGTGTCATCAGTATTTCTTTTTGCTGGAATGCTATGTTAGCAGTTCGTATTTTTGAATTGTGAAATATGTTTAATTTAAATTGTGGCTGTGAAACATTCTTAGGTGCAATGTGTCAAGTTTGCTATTACATTACTTCTAGACGATTTTTTAATATAACCAATACAGTCAAATATGATATAGTTTTGTGCATTTTCTGTTAAACATTGCTTTGTTGCAGTTTCTCTAGAATCTGCTTGTTGTCAACTGCTTAGTATCAATTGATTCAATTTTTAGGTTCGAAGCACATTTGGAAGTTCATGCAGGATCAATAGATGAGGAGGAGGATGAGCAAGGAATTGCGCATATGATTGAACACGTTGCTTTCCTAGGAAGTAAAAAACGTGAGAAACTTTTGGGAACAGGAGCGCGTTCAAATGCGTATACTGATTTCCACCATACAGTATTTCACATCCATTCTCCTACGAGCACCAAGGTATGGGCCATTTGAAGTGCAGTTCTTTGTGATGTATTCAATTATTTTTTCTTTGATATATTTCATTAAGGATTTTGGACTTTTATTCAACTTTGTTATGTTACTAATTACTATTTAATCATGCATATGAGAATAGGGTAAATGGTGTTTCTTGTGTACTTGTGTCTAAAGCAATATGTAGAAATTATTGACATTGTAATGGGTATGATCAGTTCATATTTTGAACATAACAATATTTAACTAACAGTATAATTAAGTTGTAAGAAGAGATTGTCATGGANAAGAGTAATTTTTCTAGTATCATCTTTTATTATATTATAATAATTAATAAATATTAGTTTAATTTTTACATAATAAAATATAAATAATAAATAATTGATTAATAAAACAATTTTACGAGGGAACAAAATAAATATAAATAAAAAATTATTTTAAAATAAAATAAGTAGATAAAAAGATAAAATAAATTATATACACATATAAAACAAAAAAATATAAATAAAAAATTAAAAAAATAAATATAAAAGTAAAATAATATTCATGACAAAATAAATATAAATAAAAAAAATAAAAAAAAATAAATAATAAAATAATTTCCATACACATATAATAATAAAAGAAATATAAATAAAATAGAAAATAATAATATCAAATAATTAAAAAGTTAATTTGTAAGACACTTATGAATAAAATAAAATAAATATTAAAATAAATTTCAATTAAAAAGAACATGTATTGTTATACTATTCAGTTTAAAAACTAGTACAATTCGGTTTAAAAACTAGTACAATTCAGTTGAAAAACTAGTACAATTCAGTTTAAAATTAGTATAATTCAGTTTAAAATTAGTATAGTTAGTAGTTCAGTTTAGTTTATATTGTAGTTTAGTATAATATAGTATAGTTCAGTTTAGTCTAGTTTGATAAAACAAAAAACAGTTTGTCTGTTTTACAGCTCAGTTCAGTTTATACAAATTAGTTTTTAGTTCAGTACAAATTTTAGTAATACAGTCCAGTTCAGTTCTATTTGCCCACTCCTAAAAATTTATTCATTATTGATAAACGTTGTTACTTCAAACACTTAGTATGGATATGAGTTATTGGGAGTTTTATTGAAAATCTCTATATAAGACTAATTATGTTTGAGTTAGACTGTATAAAAGTCTATTATACTAAATTTTTGTAAACTTACTTTTTAATTTTATTTTTTTAAATGTATTTATAAAAAAGTTTATTCATTTATACACACAATTAATTTATTTTGTGATTATTTAATTCATTTAACTATTTTTTTAAATTAGAAACAAATTGAATAAGAATGATAACGTGAATACAAATTGAAATAAAAATGATATCTTTAAATTAGAAACAAATTTTAGAATAAGTGAAAGGTTTAATTAAGTTTTGAGTCGTTTAGAAAAAAAATCTATTATGTATCTGATATGTTAGCTTGTGTTTACACGTGACAATTATAAACTACACATATGGGAAGGAGATGATGCGGGAAGTGAGAAAAATCTGAAAATCGAGAGGTTCCGTGTACCTCTGTTCCTTGGTGGCGGTGTCTATATAACCACCCTTTTACCCTTTTTCTCCATTTTTTTTTTCTTTCTGTTCTGTTCTATTCTGTGAGCCTTAGCTATTGCTCTGGCTATGGCTATGGCTATGGCTGCTTCAACTTCAACCTCTCTCTCCGTCGTTGGAAGTGGCCTCGCCTTCCCGCACCATCATCTTCACCTTCCCGCAACATCCTCTACTCGTTTTCGCACTCGATTCCGGAACAACACTTTGTTCCTATCGTCTCTCCCAAGGTATCACTCATTCTTTATCTCTTTTTCTTTTGCCGATGCTTCCAATGTCAAATTCCACCTCTACAGTTGCTAATTCGTCTTTCCCTATCAGTGAAAGAAGGAGGCTCAAGGCTCTTTCTGGTGGATCGGGATTGCGACGACGGAACAAGCCTCGCGGCCACGCTTTTGTTGTTGGTGAATCCTCGTTCTTGCTGCCGCAACAAACTTGTGCATCTTGCTGTCTTGCGAGGAAACGCCGTTCCAATCTTGGAACATTTGTGCCTGGAGCTTTTCTTGACAAGTCTTGTTTCCGCCTATCTAACAGTAAACTACATCGTTCTTCTGTGAGTTTTCTGGCTTCGTTTCTACCTGATAATCTTAATTTTCAATTTGTGAATGTTTCATTTCACTATTCTCTTTGTGGCTGATAAAAAAAAAACTTTTGCCTTTCTTTTTTGTGGTCTTTGGTTGTTATATTATAACCGAGTCATCTTTGTCTGTGGCTTTCAAGATTTTTAAAAATCTACTTATTATTCCAGTAAGAATTAAACTAGAGGAGTGTCTCTTGTATTAAATCTTGGGTCAAATTTATGTTTGTGTTCATGGATTTTCTTCTGTCAAGCAGGTTCAGATTCCGCGTGCAACTGTAGGTCCAGATGAGCCACATGCAGCAAGTAGAACCTGGCCAGATGGTATTGTCGAGAAACAAGATTCAAGTGTACATGATAATGAAAATGAACTAGAGCAGATAGAGGGGTTTCTAAGCTCTGAACTTCCGTCTCACCCGAAGTTGCACCGTGGTCAACTGAAGAATGGGTTACGTTATCTGATCTTGCCAAATAAAGTTCCACCAAAAAGGCAAGTTTATTAATTTTCATGAGTTCCTTTCAAAACTAGGACGTCTTTCAATGTAAAAGTGCCGATTTTTCATTCTTGAGTTTGTTTATCAATGATCAATTTCAAGAATGCGATAAAGATATTTTGATATCTCTTATCCACATGCATGACCATTACTTGTTTGAGGCATATTGCTTTGTCTTTTACAACCCCCTGAGGCGCTTCTTCTCAGTGTCTTGTTCCCGTGTCATCAGTATTTCTTTTTGCTGGAATGCTATGTTAGCAGTTCGTATTTTTGAATTGTGAAATATGTTTAATTTAAATTGTGGCTGTGAAACATTCTTAGGTGCAATGTGTCAAGTTTGCTATTACATTACTTCTAGACGATTTTTTAATATAACCAATACAGTCAAATATGATATAGTTTTGTGCATTTTCTGTTAAACATTGCTTTGTTGCAGTTTCTCTAGAATCTGCTTGTTGTCAACTGCTTAGTATCAATTGATTCAATTTTTAGGTTCGAAGCACATTTGGAAGTTCATGCAGGATCAATAGATGAGGAGGAGGATGAGCAAGGAATTGCGCATATGATTGAACACGTTGCTTTCCTAGGAAGTAAAAAACGTGAGAAACTTTTGGGAACAGGAGCGCGTTCAAATGCGTATACTGATTTCCACCATACAGTATTTCACATCCATTCTCCTACGAGCACCAAGGTATGGGCCATTTGAAGTGCAGTTCTTTGTGATGTATTCAATTATTTTTTCTTTGATATATTTCATTAAGGATTTTGGACTTTTATTCAACTTTGTTATGTTACTAATTACTATTTAATCATGCATATGAGAATAGGGTAAATGGTGTTTCTTGTGTACTTGTGTCTAAAGCAATATGTAGAAATTATTGACATTGTAATGGGTATGATCAGTTCATATTTTGAACATAACAATATTTAACTAACAGTATAATTAAGTTGTAAGAAGAGATTGTCATGGAAACTCCCAACTCCTAATCCCAATGTTCTAATGGTATCAAAGTTTTTGACACTTAAAGTTTGTGACAAGTGGAGGTAAATCCTTGTCAATGATGAGCACTGTTAAATAGTTTTCTTTAAAAGAGATTCAACATGATATTTAGAGTAAAATTCCATTAGGGCACAGGGAAAGCATTGGACTCGATTTCTAGGAAAGAAACATCTCCAGAGAGAGAATGCAATGGAAGAGTGAAGATTATTCTTAATTTAACCTTGCAAAATCTGCTAGTAAAGTGAGAAAAGCTCAAGCTTTATGAGATCTACTTAAGTCATATTTTTAGTAAATGTGACCTTGAGATTGCAATAAAGGCAACAATCAAAGAGTCCACAATTAAGGTGGGCTGGGGTTGAGCAATTATTAAGGCAACTTTCTGACAATCATAAATATAGAAAATTTGACAGTCATATTTTGTACGCTTATTATGTGATAGAATTCTTTTTTGACGCATGTTAACTGTGTACAGTTTATCCATGTGTATCCTGCTATTATTTTAAATCTGTCAATGATTCAGGCTTTCTTGCCAAATTGTCTTACCCTAAATCTATCCCTTTGATCTTCTTTGACCGTTTTCTTTGATTATATAACTATTTAAAGATTAAAGGAGCTTTGGAATCGTTTTGGGAAGAGATTTTAGGATAAGTGTGAGTTTAGATACACAAAAAAAAAAAGAAGAAAAGAAATGAAAAAAACATGGAATATTTTCTGTTATGTTTCTATGGTGACACTCGTTGCTTTTGGTCACTGGAGAATTGTATCAATTGTAAAAAAAGAAAAAAAAATTGACACTTCTTTGAGACTATATCTTACTGAGAAAAAGACACCCGTGCAAAGCATTAGGTTACGGGAGAATTGTTGTCAATTAAATAAAAAAAAGGTTAGCAATTTTTTTTAGTAAATTGACACCCTTTTGAGACTATATCTTACTGAAAAAGATACACTCACCAAGTATGGCAAGTGCAAAGTATTGGAGTGGAAGATCCATACTTAGTTGGCAGGTAAGTGCCTTCTAGGTCAGAAACTTAAGAGAAAATATTCTATAAAGAAAAATAAAGTTACAAAAATGATCTATCTTGTGTCTTGCCTCAAATAATAGATTGCACTCAGGGACCAAAAGTTAATCATTGTTTCAAAAACTGTAAAATGTGTCACAATTAAGGTGGGCTGGGGTTGAGCAATTACCAAAGCAACTTTTTGACAATCATAAGTATAGAAAAATTGACAGTCATACGCTTATTATGTGATAGAATTCTTTGACGCATTTTAACTGTCTACAGTTTATCAGTGTGTATCCTGCTATTATTTTAAATCTGTCAATATCTTGCTTTCTGGGTTCTTTTTCTTTAGTGCTTAATGTAACCACGTCTAGTCATCTAAAACAATTTGAAATTGAACATGTCTCTCTTGTTTTCAATATATGAATATATGAATGAAATCATATTGAATATTTTAATATTTCATTTTGTTGTTGATCATAAACGTTGTTTGTTAGGATTCTGATGGGGATCTACTTCCATTTGTTCTGGATGCCTTGAATGAGGTATGATTTTGGACTTTGTTTCTTTTCACGGCATTGCCCGTAAAAGCCTCTTCCACATCTCTACACATGCTTATTTTTGCTTTAACATGATATTTCATTTGACCTTGGTCTTATGCTTTGGTTTTGACTCTACTTGTCTGGGCATAATAGTTTAGATTACTCACAGCTAATTGTTGTTGATATATGCAGATAGCTTTCCACCCAAAGTTTCTTGCTTCTCGGATTGAAAAGGAACGACGTGCCATACTATCAGAGCTTCAAATGATGAATACAATAGAGTATCGAGTTGATTGTCAGGTGGGGAACAAAAAATATCTCTAGGAAATTCAGGCTATCAACTTTGTGTTTACACATAATGTTGACTCAATTTTTACATTGCTTTTATTTTCTGTAATTGCAGTTGTTACAGCATCTTCATTCTGAAAATAAGTTGAGCAAAAGGTTTCCCATTGGATTAGAAGAACAGATAAAAAAATGGGATGCAGATAAAATAAGGAAGTTTCATGAGCGTTGGTATTTCCCTGCAAATGCTACCTTGTACATTGTGGGGGATATTGATAACATATCAAAGACTGTTTACCAGATTGAAGTATGTCCTACATTTTTATATTCATAAGTTTGGTTATGATCATGGTTATAATATGTAGGAATCTTATTCAATAAGCTGTTGTCACACAGGCAGTTTTTGGGCAAACTGGTGTGGACAATGAGAAAGGTTCTGTAGCCACTCCAAGTGCATTTGGTGCAATGGCCAGTTTTCTCGTTCCAAAGCTTTCTGTTGGTTTGGGTGGAAATTCTATTGAAAGATCAGCAATGGATCAATCCAAAATATTCAATAAGGAAAGGCAAGCTGTCCGTCCTCCTGTGAAGCATAATTGGTCACTTCCCGGGAGTGGAGCTGACTTGAAGCCACCACAAATATTTCAGCATGAGTTACTTCAAAATTTTTCAATTAATATGTTCTGCAAGGTATAAAGAGTCGTGTTATCTTATTCCTAACTCAAACTTAGAGTATAGATTTTTGTAGTTGCTTTTGTGTATCAATTATTATTTACATGTGCTTAAACATTTTGGAGCTGATAACAAAGTCAGAGACTTCTTGTGGTGGAGAAATGGTCAATGGAGAATGTTTGGCATAACTCATAAAAGGATTGGAACATATGATTTATTAGTTCATATCAAGGTCTACTGGTCTAATGAACAATTTAAATAAAATATTGTCATATTCATATTGGTCTAGTAGATATTATCTTGGTCTAATGGTAATTAGAATGTACTTTAGTGTTGACCAATAACCTTTAAAGACAAGTTGGAATTGTATCCAAGTTGTGCCTGTCATGCCTCTCCTTATGGCACTAAAAACCTTTCTGGCTTTAAGTGTTGTGAAGTATTCTTTAGAATATTTATAGTGGCAAGTTGTTCCATTCTATAGCAGCAATGTTGCATCTGGCTGATTCTAAAACTCTTGCAATGTTGCATCATTTTCTGCTTCTATCAAATCCTTAGTCTGGACAGAAATGGGATCCCTCATTTTTTGGGGAGCTTTTATTATTTTACTATCGCTTCTATTCTTGTATCCTAAATATTCTACAGCTAGAATCCCTTCATCCATAAAAAAAGGTATATCTTAGAATTTGTGTTGAGTTCGACTCAACTCTACAAAAATAGCTTGGAAGGTAAGGATTGTCTGAGGACCAAGATTGATAAGTTCTATTTAAGTTGTATCTTGAGTCAACAAGGCTGATCTTTAGGGAAATTTTAATTAGGTATCTAAACTAAAAGAATGTCAATGATTCCTTGATTTTCTATATTTTGTAATTAAGTTGCTGGAGTTAGTTTACGGTGGCATGGAATTGCTAGAATAATACTTCCTTTGATCCTTTATCAAGATTAATAAATGTTGTTAAATCATATAATTATAATTAACAGTGTCACAAATTAAAATTTTATAGCAAAAGAGCCCCTAGTAGAATTAATCAAAATTTTATAGCTGTGCATTAGAACAATGTTAATTGTGTGTCTACACTGTGACTTTTGATTATTGTTGAAGAATGTCTGTCAAGGTAGGGTGGGTTAATTTTGTTTTCAATTTTTTTGAAGCATTTATATTTATGCTTATAGTATAAATTATTTATCTTGTATCCATAACCATTGGTATATTGACCCTCTTGCTTTGCTATTTTTGGGGTTGGCACTAGTGTTTTATTGATATACTTTTAGATTTTAAATTTCCCAAGTGATCCTACTTTTTCTTCTTCCGTACCTTTTTCTTTACATATTCCTTTTTTTTAGTGTTTTATTGATATACTTTTAGATATTAAAAAATTTATGTTTCTTCTCTTTATTAATTATGTTGTTTTATATCTTTTGCAGATACCAGTGAATAAGGTTCAAACATATAGAGATTTGCGCCAGGTCTTGATGAAAAGAATATTCTTGTCTGCTCTTCATTTTAGAATTAATACGAGATATAAGGTGAGATGAAATTCTTTGTATCTTCAGCAGTTTGCTTTCCTGGTCGCATCCTTTTTATGTGGCTACTGTAGGAATTAATTGACATTTATTGATTGATTTTATTGTTTTCATTGTTTCATACAGATATCTGAAAATACGAAACAAAGTGAAAATTTTAGGAAAACAATAAATGAAAACGGAAAATTTTTCTCTTGAAATCCTAAAGTTTTCAGCAATTTATACCCAATTTTCTATGAAGTTTGTCCAAGTTATTGACAGAGATAATAAGTGACTCTATTCTGTGGATTTCAGTTTCTTAATCGTAATACTCAAATTTCCCTATACAATCACTTTTCACTAGTTCATTATCCATCCCTTAGCATTTAAATGTTTACTAATGCATGGGATTTTACAGAGTTCGAATCCACCATTCACTTCAGTTGAATTGGATCACAGTGATTCTGGAAGAGAAGGATGCACTGTAACCACTCTAACCATAACCGCAGAACCAAAGAATTGGCATAATGCAATTAGAGTTGCTGTTCAAGAGGTTTGTTTCTTTTGTTCTGCTTTGATTGTCTGTGTTTGGAATAGAGCTGTTTCGTATTTTTCTTTCCATTGGTTGTTCCAGTTTTTGCTATTTTTAGATCCATGTCCAACTGCTGGTTTTCAGTCCTTTGTTTAGCATAAAAAGATATAAAATGTCTCAACTTTATGGCAATAAATTCACATGAAGTTTATGAATTTTTTAACTCTTACAAATGCTCCTAGAATCTTTTTAGGTCTTGTGCTGCATAGAGAAAACCGTATTGTTTAAAGTTTGAAATAACTTGAATGATAGACTACCTTAATTCTTTCTACAGAAAGTGTCTCTAATGTCAATTTGTGTGATATAGGTTCGGAGACTTAAAGAGTTCGGGGTTACCCAGGGTGAATTAACTCGTTATTTAGATGCCCTTCTGAAAGATAGCGAACACCTAGCAGCCATGATTGACAATGTATCTTCTGTTGATAACTTGGATTTTATCATGGAAAGTGATGCTCTTGGACATAAAGTTATGGACCAGAGACAAGGGCATGAAAGTTTACTTGCTGTTGCTGGAACAGTTACCCTCGAGGAGGTAATTTTGTTGATACCCATTGGACCTTGTGCAAAATGTTAAATTACCTTTAACTCCTCTCTTTTTTCTGTTCTTGACTCTTTTTTATTATGACAACTCAAGTAAAACTGTAGAAGTGTCAGGCATGAGCTGATTCAAAGGTCTTGTGCAGATAACTCTTTGCTACCTTTTAATATTTTAGTGCAATTTTTTTTATCCTGATAAGAAAATTATTTATTTTTCCTTTTGCTTAGTTATTTGTGCATCCATGCTAGAGATGAGGTTTTAGTTTTTATTATTCTATCTTAGATTGTTTTCTTGTAGCTCATTATTGTCCTAGTTAAAGAAAATACTTGGAACACTTTAACATCAATGGCAACTGTACTGATTTTACTTTTAAGAAATTTTAAGTTAAACAGTATATTTCCATGACAATTTCATATTTATGTTACTTGTTTTGTTTTGTTCTTATGTTGTCTCTCTCTCTCTCTCTCTCTCTCTCTCTCTCTCTCTTTTAAATTTAAACATAATGTATTACATATTGTATTTTATTTTAAATTTAATATGTTTAAAAGTTATCTTAGAAAATTTTGTTGTAACTCAAAATCTTAGCTGGTACTTTCTAATATAGTTATTTACTTAAAATATCTTATGATTCAGGTCAATTCAGTTGGTGCCAAGGTGTTAGAATTTATAGCTGATTTTGCAAAGCCTACTGCACCGCTTCCTGCTGCAATTGTTGCTTGTGTTCCAAAAAACGTTCACATTGAGGGAGCTGGTGAAACAGAATTCAAGATATCATCCACTGAGATTACGGATGCTATCAAAGCTGGACTGGATGAACCTATTCAGCCAGAGCCTGAGGTATCTTCCTTCAGATTAATTCCTTGTTAGTTGATCCTATTTTGCTTTGGAAGAATTGATTTTCATCTGACTACTGATGATTTGTTTTTGCATTTGATATATCGTTATATTCTTCATGTGCTATGATATGACTCCACCACTGATTCAAATTTAGTTCGTTTTTTATCATTGGTGAATTCTATTAATGAGAGCCAATTCTTATGAGTTGGGTGTCTTGTCTATATATACATAATTGCTGTTCAGCTAATTAACTTTCCCGTATGTATGTGTATAGCTTGAGGTGCCAAAAGAGCTTATACAATCATCTAACCTAGAAGAACTGAAAAAGCTGCGCAAGCCGACTTTTGTTCCTGTAAATCCTGAAACAGATGCTACAAAGCTTCTTGATGAGGAAACTGGGATCACCCAGCGCCGTCTTTCAAATGGAATTCCTGTTAATTATAAGGTATTTGATGTCAGTTTATATTGGGATTCCCATGAAACTAGCACCTTATTTTCCTTTGCCATGTCATTGTGCTCAGCATTGCATATTTAAAATTGGTGACTCAGTCTACATGCATTTCTTAAGTCCATTCTACTCTGTTACTGCTTTGTTTTATTCTATTCTGCAATAATGGATTGTACCATTTTTGATAGAGCAAGGAGACATAATTTGTCAAAAACTTAATTTTCAGTTTCTATTATGTTTCTACCATGCCATTCAATTTCTAGCTGATTCCACAAATGCAATCAGTTTATTGAACTTATTAATGCATTTTATGGATGACAGATATCAAAAACTGAAACACAAAGTGGTGTGATGAGGTTGATTGTTGGTGGCGGACGAGCAGCTGAGAGTTCCGATGCAAGAGGATCTGTAATTGTTGGTGTGAGGACACTTAGTGAGGGAGGTTGTGTTGGTAACTTCTCAAGGGAACAGGTAACTATCTTTTCTTACTAACAGATGTTTCCAAACGTCAATGTTATGTTTCTATTTTCCAATTGCGTTGCATTGTTCTGGTGGCTTACTTGTGTAAGTCATGTCAGAAGAACTCTGCACAGTTTTTAATTTCACCACTATAAATCTATTATTTTGACTACTCATGGATATGAATGTGACCTACACTACACAGATAATTTCAGTATCCAAGAACTTATCTTATCTCACTTCTATTTAATGAATGTCCTGTATTTTATGCGTAAAACCAGGTGGAACTTTTCTGTGTAAATCACCTGATAAATTGCTCCTTGGAATCTACGGAGGAATTCATTTCAATGGAGTTTCGTTTTACTTTAAGAGACAATGGGATGCGTGCAGCCTTTCAATTGCTTCACATGGTGCTTGAGGTAAACATCTTTCCATCTTGGTTGTATAATTGCATTTATGTACTCAATTACATATTTGCTCTGTTGCTTATGCAGCATAGTGTCTGGGTTGATGATGCTTTTGATAGAGCAAGGCAATTGTATCTGTCATATTACCGATCCATCCCCAAGAGCTTGGAACGCTCAACTGCCCACAAACTCATGGTAGCAATGTTGGATGGAGATGAGAGGTTTATTGAGCCAACACCAAAATCACTGGAGAATTTAACCCTGCAATCTGTTAAGGATGCAGTGATGAATCAATTTGTTGGCAACAACATGGAGGTTATCATTAATTTATTAAATTCATAGTTCTCTTACAATTACATTCAGACACTAAAATGTTCTTTTTTTCTTTAGGTATGCATTGTAGGAGACTTAACGGAGGAGGACATTGAATCTTGCATTCTTGATTACCTGGGCACGGCTCAGGCCACAAGAAACCATGAAAGAGAGCAAGAATTCAACCCACCCGTATTTAGATTATCTCCATCAGAGTTGCAGTTTCAAGAAGTGAGAAGCTAAGCATTTATTACCTTTTTTTATATGTTGTTTTGTGACAAGTTAACGTTATATTATTTGTTGTATGTTTGGACAAACTTCTCCATAAGGACTTGTAGGTGAGAAATATGAAGAAAAAAATAAAATTGACTTCTCCATAGGTTTAAATTAACTCATACACTTATTTGCACGGTCAAATTTAGTGTTTATACTTTTTGAATTGGTGTTAACACAACAATGAACTAGGCTTTTGACATGGTTATTCACTTTTGCCTTTGCAGGTATTTTTAAAGGACACAGATGAGAGGGCGTGTGCTTATATAGCTGGACCAGCGCCAAACCGTTGGGGTTATACCGTCAATGGAAAGTACTTGTTAGAGTCAGAGTCCATTAATAATGCTTCAACAACCAATGGTGAACTTCGTTGACTTTTTTTCTTGTGTCATAATATTTAAAAAGTTATGTTTTCAGTTGTTAAAGGCTTGAAATGGCTTGTGCAGGTGATCAGTCAAATTCTGATGCCCAACCGATACAAGGTTTGCAAAAGAGCCTACGTGGTCATCCTCTTTTCTTTGGTATAACTATGGGACTGCTTTCTGAGATTATAAATTCTAGGTATCTCTTTCTACTCTATGCTCACCTGTATTTGGCTTTTTGAAGAAAGTTAGCAAGCACAAATCCTCTATAGAATGGTGTGTTAGACACGCCTTGGACATGTGTTGGACACCCTTCCACTTTGTCACAATTATAAAATAATATTTTTCTGACTTGGATGTCTCTTCAACCCGGCTTGGCACATCTTTGACATGGCTTGGATACGAGCCAAGAGTGGAACTCTTGGTTTCACTTCTTAGACACTTACATTAATATTTTTTAAAAGGTCAACTTTTAAATATTGTGATACTCACCAGTTTTTTGGGCTCATTTTCAAAGAACTTAATTAGATGTTAAGGTTGAGAAAAAATACCAGATGGTTTAACTTTTTAAGAGATCTTGGGATATTCTTTTCGTTTAGACTGCATTGTGAAATTATCTCAGTATTCTATTTGTTGGAGTCATTATTATATGAAATTGTAAAGCAACAATTTTGTTTTTAAAATGAATTATATAAATCTTAGTTAACAATTTAATTTTGTCTTTTGATTTTATATTCTCTCTCTATAAATAAGAATACTTATCTTGACCTTTTCAACTAACATTCTTCAATGAGATTATTTTTATAATTTTTTTCTTTAGCCAGAGCGATTTTAGGGCTTTTCTTAACTAATATCTTCAGTATCATTATCTATATTTAATTTAGATTTCAATATTTTTTAAAACGAATTATCAACAATTAAAAAATACTCCTATATAATTATTTATATTAATATAATATATAATTTATATGTTCAAAAGTATTTTTTAAAATTTAATTTAAATGTTCAAAATTATTTTTTTATTTTATTTTATGCTTTTGGTAAGAAGTGTAGAAAGGAGTAATGTAACTATTTCAAGAGTAACTTTAAAAGCCATACTCCTTATCCTTAGGCTTGATTTTTCTCTTAAATTAACTCTTAAACTTGTTCTTGAAGTGACTGTTTGGACTTAGACAAGGCCAAAATGCTATTTTGGGCTGGAATATTGTAATATCTATGAGTAAATGCATACTAAATACAGATTGTTATTTTCAAATTTTTTAGTCAAAAATCTGATTACATTTTTCCTCTACAGGCTCTTCACCACTGTCAGAGATTCTCTGGGGTTGACGTATGATGTGTCATTTGAATTAAACTTGTTTGACAGGCTTAAATTAGGATGGTATGTGATCTCTGTCACATCAACTCCAAGCAAGGTGTGAGCTCCATTCTTGTAATATATTCAATCTAATTTTTGCTGCCAGTTTCCTTCTGTTCAAAAGTTTTACGTCAAATTGATTTGCAGGTCCACAAAGCTGTTGATGCATGCAAGAATGTTCTTAGAGGTTTACATAGCAACAAAATTACCGAGAGGGAATTGGACAGGGTTAGTTATTGAAATGCTGGACTTGTTGTGCATTAAAATTTAGTGGAAGCACTTTTAGACACAAGTTTTTCTGCTAAATGTATCAGTGTTCGAATTCGATTAGTCTCATATGAACTGATTCTTGAGCTTTGTATTGTGTTTCTCCGTGATGGTTTCTTAATGAAGGGCAAATACTGTTTAAAATGCACGTGATGCCTTCATTTAATTTCCAAATATGGTTTAACTTTTTCATGCTATTTGCTATGCATTTTGAATTTGAGAATTCCTTTGGTGCTTTTTTCTAATGTAGGCTAAACGAACCCTTCTTATGAGACATGAAGCTGAAATCAAGTCAAATGCCTACTGGTTAGGGTTATTAGCTCATTTACAAGCTTCTTCTGTTCCAAAGAAGGTGAGATATAAATATCTGAATCTTCAAGTGAGATATTGGATTTTTACTTTGATGCAAAACAAAACAAGGTTTAAGGTTTTTAGTCTTGCCAACATCTTATAATTTTTTATTCTTGTTTCTAAATTATGCTAATATCGATTGTGGATCCAGGACATATCATGTATCAAGGACCTAACATTTCTATATGAAGTTGCTACTATTGAGGATATATATCTTGCATATGAACAGTTGAAAGTGGATGAGAATTCTCTATATTCATGCATTGGAATTGCTGGAGCTCAGGATGCGCAAGATGTAGCAGGTGTAGTAATGTTCTTAATGTCTAACATTGAATCTTGCTTTGTTTTTTTTTTTCAAACTTAAGTCCGGATTTCATCTCTCATCTTTTCCAAATTTGAGCAGTATTTTTTGTCAAATTTTTCACTTCCTAGGTTTGACTAAGCATAAAAATTTTATTCCCGAAAGAACATTTCAATCCTTTAAACATAGAAATGAGAAATGATATCCCAATTCCANCACGCCTTGGACATGTGTTGGACACCCTTCCACTTTGTCACAATTATAAAATAATATTTTTCTGACTTGGATGTCTCTTCAACCCGGCTTGGCACATCTTTGACATGGCTTGGATACGAGCCAAGAGTGGAACTCTTGGTTTCACTTCTTAGACACTTACATTAATATTTTTTAAAAGGTCAACTTTTAAATATTGTGATACTCACCAGTTTTTTGGGCTCATTTTCAAAGAACTTAATTAGATGTTAAGGTTGAGAAAAAATACCAGATGGTTTAACTTTTTAAGAGATCTTGGGATATTCTTTTCGTTTAGACTGCATTGTGAAATTATCTCAGTATTCTATTTGTTGGAGTCATTATTATATGAAATTGTAAAGCAACAATTTTGTTTTTAAAATGAATTATATAAATCTTAGTTAACAATTTAATTTTGTCTTTTGATTTTATATTCTCTCTCTATAAATAAGAATACTTATCTTGACCTTTTCAACTAACATTCTTCAATGAGATTATTTTTATAATTTTTTTCTTTAGCCAGAGCGATTTTAGGGCTTTTCTTAACTAATATCTTCAGTATCATTATCTATATTTAATTTAGATTTCAATATTTTTTAAAACGAATTATCAACAATTAAAAAATACTCCTATATAATTATTTATATTAATATAATATATAATTTATATGATCAAAAGTATTTTTTAAAATTTAATTTAAATGTTCAAAATTATTTTTTTATTTTATTTTATGCTTTTGGTAAGAAGTGTAGAAAGGAGTAATGTAACTATTTCAAGAGTAACTTTAAAAGCCATACTCCTTATCCTTAGGCTTGATTTTTCTCTTAAATTAACTCTTAAACTTGTTCTTGAAGTGACTGTTTGGACTTAGACAAGGCCAAAATGCTATTTTGGGCTGGAATATTGTAATATCTATGAGTAAATGCATACTAAATACAGATTGTTATTTTCAAATTTTTTAGTCAAAAATCTGATTACATTTTTCCTCTACAGGCTCTTCACCACTGTCAGAGATTCTCTGGGGTTGACGTATGATGTGTCATTTGAATTAAACTTGTTTGACAGGCTTAAATTAGGATGGTATGTGATCTCTGTCACATCAACTCCAAGCAAGGTGTGAGCTCCATTCTTGTAATATATTCAATCTAATTTTTGCTGCCAGTTTCCTTCTGTTCAAAAGTTTTACGTCAAATTGATTTGCAGGTCCACAAAGCTGTTGATGCATGCAAGAATGTTCTTAGAGGTTTACATAGCAACAAAATTACCGAGAGGGAATTGGACAGGGTTAGTTATTGAAATGCTGGACTTGTTGTGCATTAAAATTTAGTGGAAGCACTTTTAGACACAAGTTTTTCTGCTAAATGTATCAGTGTTCGAATTCGATTAGTCTCATATGAACTGATTCTTGAGCTTTGTATTGTGTTTCTCCGTGATGGTTTCTTAATGAAGGGCAAATACTGATTAAAATGCACGTGATGCCTTCATTTAATTTCCAAATATGGTTTAACTTTTTCATGCTATTTGCTATGCATTTTGAATTTGAGAATTCCTTTGGTGCTTTTTTCTAATGTAGGCTAAACGAACCCTTCTTATGAGACATGAAGCTGAAATCAAGTCAAATGCCTACTGGTTAGGGTTATTAGCTCATTTACAAGCTTCTTCTGTTCCAAAGAAGGTGAGATATAAATATCTGAATCTTCAAGTGAGATATTGGATTTTTACTTTGATGCAAAACAAAACAAGGTTTAAGGTTTTTAGTCTTGCCAACATATTATAATTTTTTATTCTTGTTTCTAAATTATGCTAATATCGATTGTGGATCCAGGACATATCATGTATCAAGGACCTAACATTTCTATATGAAGTTGCTACTATTGAGGATATATATCTTGCATATGAACAGTTGAAAGTGGATGAGAATTCTCTATATTCATGCATTGGAATTGCTGGAGCTCAGGATGCGCAAGATGTAGCAGGTGTAGTAATGTTCTTAATGTCTAACATT